GACGGCAGAAACAAAGATTACGTGCTCTTTATGTGGGGAAATATGGATGAAATGCTGACATTTAAAGGTCTAGTGTGTAACATTTAGGTAGCCCAGAACTGTAATAACTTTGGTGATCCTCTGACTTTTTATCGAGCGCCATCATCAAGTCAGATTGCTCATTTGTCCAATAGTTTGGTTTATGATTAAATACCACCAAATGACAGCCCCATCAGCTGCACTATGTTTAGTACTAATGAGCAAATGTTAGTATGATGCACAAACATGGGCCACCCCAGTTTGTTGTCAAATTAAACACATTTCTTTAGATTAATATTGAAATTAGCTCAGATAATTTAATGATCTGAAATAGGCTTATTTTATTTGAAAAAAAGATTTGGAAAATCAGAAAATGTGGAAATATATATATATATATATATATATATATTTATAGTGCCACCTTTAGATATTTATATTCAATGCTTTAACAATGTGCAACAATAATGTAATGTTTGTGAGTTAAGATATCTTAATGACTTTCGGGATTCAGGGATTCAGCGAATTCTTCCATTTTGACCCAAGAGAGTTAAATCTTCAGGAAGACAGTTCCCTAGAAAAGCGGTTCAAGGTGCCTCGAGAGAGGGCCTGTAGGTTGAACTTTGCATCGGTATCTTATCTCTTGGTTATCACTGCTTCCTGAGGAAAACCAGAACAAGGTCTAAAACAGGGTTACATCAATCTGTGAGGGGAATCTTTAAACTCTTGAGAACACATACACAAACTGTGTGCTGGAGCAGCAGATGCAGTGCGATTTGTGAGGCAGCCGTGTGACTCAGAAGTGTGTTTTGAGAATATTAACACGGGCCCTGGCATTGTTTCGCAATGATTGGTATTCAAAGCTGGGAGTGGAGATAGAAACTACACTCAGACATTAACAGCAGCAGACATTAGAGTAAAGTCAGTTCAGTAAACATAAGTCAAACAAATAATGCAGTTCTGCTTCCTACATGACATAAAATTGTTTCACTTTATTTGAACTGCCCGGTGTTACTTAACTTTTTATCCACGCAAGTCAGTGTTAATGCTGTTTCAGCAATAGTGGTCACTGTTATTTCATACTAAGCAACTTGTCATTATCTGCTGATGTTCAATTTAAAATAGAGAGTTAACAGAAATTATATCAGTGTTTTAGAGCAGTACAACTCATGATGCATGATCCAAGGAAACAATGGTATCATGATACATGTACTGTGAGACATCATATTTGTTTAATCCCAAAAAAAATGATTTTCAGCAATCATAAGCTCATCATTCCTCCCTCATATTCACAATTGCAAGTTTAGACAGGATGAGTCTGAGAGCCATGTTTATGTTGCGGGATCAGTGACAGGTTGAGCTCCTAATCCGTGTCAGATTCGCCTTGTGGTTGTGCAAACCAGCATTTCAGAGAAGCTTGTTGATGCCTGGCTTCTTTTATTAGATGTCAAACACACCATTCCCTGCTCTCTAGAGACAGTTCATCCTCTATATGCTAACTACTGAAAGCCTCCTTTCCCATGATGGGTCACTGCATGTGTGTTTTTGTGCATATGCTTGGGTGTGTTTTTGTATATAGATTTCTCTTTTAGGTCAGGAAGTTGAGCCACAGCAGAGGGAAGCATAGTGAGGGAAAATGTGTCAAAAGTTCCTGTTCAACACTTCCCTCCTCAAAGGAAAGTTTGTGTCACAGAGAAACTGTGTTAATCTCAAAATGCTATTCTTCTGGGCTGAGAGGAACATTTCACACAATAGAAACTGACTTTGATCTTAAAGTGATACTGCCCTTATAGATAAAATATTGATGCTGGGGAGGGGTCATAGTAATTGAGTGTAACATTGTGTGTGTTCAAAGTATTTGCTTGATGGTTACAGAAACTTTGTAGTGAATGTATCCAGCTGACAGTCAGCTATCAAATTACATGAGGAAGTGGAAGGTTTTCACAGGCCTGCCACAGGCTTACAACAGCCAAACTAAATCTGAGGAAGTAGATGAATTTATCTGTGTTTTCCTTTCACATATCATGTACTTGCAGATGCTTTAGGGTCTGAGAAATAGAGTGACTAGTGGAAGTATACAGAAATAATGCTGACCTCACTACACTAAGCCTATCTGTAACAAACATTTAGTTGTCACACTGTTTTAGTCCCAGCTGATTGTATGTGGAGGAGTTTCAGTTTGTAATTCACACAACGTCCCGTGAATGTTCTGTTGTTGTTCTGCTGTTGTATCTTTGATGTGTCCAGTGCAATGCCATGTTACGTTATGGAGAACGTACATTGTATTTGTTGTAATACCAGCAATGTGCAACAGAAACACAAGCATGCACGTCTGACAAGTAGTGAGTCCTCGGTTCTCCTCCTGGCTTGTGTGTGTTCAGCAGATTCCACAGATTTCAGACCCTCGTGGAGATTCTTCTGTCCTCCACTGCTCTTGGACACAAACCCTCCTCTGTTGTCCCTGCCAGAGCCTCTTGCACCCTCTCTCCCTGCGCAGGGACGCCTAACGTCAGCCAGAGCACCCGATGAGTGTCAGTGAGTCTCATGCCAAGGCTGTAGTGTGTATTGATTGCCCTCATCTGCTCTTCGTCCAATATATGAATCATGGATAGTACTTTACTGTTACATTGATTGATCGCTCCTTAATTTGTTGCATGAAATGAAAACACCTTGTAGTCTAATATGTGGCACGCACCAGGCTTCATGCACGTGATGCTTTACTCTGCCATCCCACAGCTAAAGTAGAAGATAGAAAGCTCTGTTAGTTCATTGCGGCTTCAGAGGAGGGAAGTTTAGTAATAAGAAACACTCACAGCAAACTTACAGCAGCTTAACTGACCGTTTATTAAAATAAAAGAGAAAACACAGAACTTCCCTGTTTAATCTGCGCTGTGGATTGCATGTCTTACATTTGAAGAACTGAAGGAAGGTGGTTTTATTTGAGTTTTGGGTGTAACACTTGAGAAGGTAAATGACGTGGGCAATCAAGACAACTGTTTCCAGGTAATTACATAGTACCCATTATGATGTAGGGCTCTTATCAGGAGCACATCGGATCAGCAGGCTCTTGACAGAGACGGTCACAAAGACGGCTAATCTGCATCATTCATGAGAACAGACTGCTGTTAGTTAAACATTACATTTATTATATCTGAGGAAGTGTGGAACGCTATACCTTATTTCCCATAATGCTTTTGTTTTAGATTGTTTATAGAGTATACACATATATATATATATATATATATATGTGTGTGTGTGTGTATTTAGGGTAAGGAGGGGCTGTGGTAAAGTGACAGGAGCTTAAAGGAATACATTTTAGGAAATAATCTTATTCACTTATGTCAAACTATCCTTTTAAAACCTATAAGTGAAACTGCTGCAAACTGGATGGACTCACTAATATAAACCCTGTTACCTCTGTACCCCTTCTGCTATCCTATCCTAAAAGTGTTTTAAAGTGGTCAAGGATCACCTGGATTGATAAACACACAAGTGCTGTGTGTGCAATTTACTGTTGTCACATCACATGATTTCTGGGAAATAAAGTTCCCAGTTTGAAAGCTCCACTCACTTTATTATGAGTCACCAATGTACAAAGTTTACAAAGTGTGTTTTTAAAAAGATCCATCACTGGACAAAAAGGACCTGTATCTGGAAAGATCCAATAGTATACAAGTTCATGGATCTGTATCCAGATCTGTATATTTTATCATATCTTATCATATAAAAATAAAATCTGTCAAAGATCCAGTCTGTATATAAACGTACAACCTTGGATAGTGTCCTATTTTTGTGCCTTTATTCCCGTTAATTCTGTTTGTTCTTTTTCCTAAAAGGTTTAATTGGAAATAAAATATCCTCTCATGCTATTTTTATGTACTTTCTGGAAATTGGACCAAATCAGAAAAAGTCAGAAAAGTCATGTTTTTTTTCTAAGTGCTTTACTGGGAGAAAAATAGTTCTTGAAACAACTGGCTTACGTAATACGGAGAAGTAACAGTCACTCTGGTACCAAGTTGTATATGAGAGAAAATGTTGAGTCAGGCTGCCTCAGTTATTATAAGTTAATTTATGTGCAGTGATGTTTTGAAGTAGCTTTAATCAATCAGCCTCCTACAAAGTGAGTCATTCACACTGACTTATTTGTAGAAGGTTCATTGTCTTTGAGTGTTCAGTTGACAGAGGGCGGGAGCACACGAAGAACGATGTAGAGGGAGTGTCAGGTCAGATTTGGTCACAATGACAAAGAGTATCCTGACCAGTGTTGTCTGTCCTGAGTTCTGTGGCTCCTGTATTTAACTCTGTTCACTGACCTCTTTGATGACAAACAATTTAAAACCCCTTCTGCTAAATAAAGAAACTGCTTCATCCATACAGCGGAAGGGAGGTTCTTGGTTCGAGCTTGCGTTTTTTCCTGGATGACAATACAGCTCTAACTCTTCCTGCCATCCCAGAGCGGGACTGGACGGGACAGGGCAAGGGGGAGGCGGTCAGAGGTCAACACCCAGCTTACATTGTCCTCCTTGGAGCCTGGAGTGAGCAGGGCCCGCAGACCACACCGGAACCGGTCCCTTCCTCAGGCCGACAAGGCCAGAGTTAAGTCGACTGCCTCCATCTGCCCCCTCCCCAAATTCTCCGTAGACCTTCCCAGCAGACCTCCAATCAGATGCCTTTGAGGCCCTCTTCCTTCCTGGCGAGCAGTTTGGAGTCACGTGGAGTCAAACAGCCGCCCCAGTTTACTCATGATTGTCAAAAACACACAGCACAACACATCAGCATGCAGCAGCCACCTGCATGTTCAACCTCGGCTTTATATTCATGGTTAACGAGTCACAGGAGCTCTCCGTAATCTTTGTGCCTGTTGTTCTTCCTGAACAGACACCCATGGTGGAGGTATTTTTCAGATGTTTTGGTCTATTGGTGTGTGTCACATACAGTGTATTAACATGCTGCATCTGATTTCTCTCTCCTCCGGCCTCTTCCAGGAGGCGTGCACTGAACTTCGGCCTCGTCTCTGTGTGATCAAGCGAGGGTCTAACGGATATGGCTTCAACCTGCACAGCGAGCGGGCGCGGCCGGGCCAATATATCAGAGCTGTGGATGAGGACTCTCCAGCAGAGAGGTCCGGCCTGCAGCCTAAGGACAGGATAGTACAGGTACTTTATTAAGGTCAATGCTAGACTAGACTACTGTCAGACCATTCAGGGCGGGAACTCAATATGGTGCAATAAGAGGGACATTTAGGAAAATTATTAATGGTCTTTGAAGATGACTTTCTAGTTTAGAAACTCCTTGAACAGGGTGCCCAATCTTAGTCTTATGTAAGAAGCATTAATGTACATCCTTGGCAGTTTTAAGGAAATGTACTTTTCAACTTTGTGAGAAAAAACTGATTAGAGTCCTTAGAGGTCCACAAAAATATCCATACAAATAGTGCATCCTGATTGGTCTGCCACACTTCCGCTCTAGGCAGCCTTTTTTTTTTAACTTGGATAAAAATAGAGAAGAATGTGTGGTGCCTGTAAAAGGTAGAAAACCTGTTTACTTTCCATGAGAAAAAAATGCCTTTCTAGCGCTCCACTAATTTATTTTTTGGTTACACGGTGTGAAAATGTACCCTTGTTACGTTCGGTGTAGATGTAACCTTGTAGTAGCTTCATTCGTCTTCAGTGACTGATTCTTCTGGCATTTTGTAATGTTTCAGGATTAAATATAAAAGTGACAGAAAAGTTGTGGGGGAAAGTAACTGACTACATTTACTTTTTTCTGTTTTTCAATGCAGGACTTTTCCTTGTAAAAGAGTATTTTAACAGTGTGGGATTTGTACTTTTACTTATGTAAAGGATTTGAATATTCCCCCCACCTAAGAAAATACTCTCCAATAGTGTCTAAGTGAACCTGTTCTTCTGAATACTGTACTCAGAAGTGGTCAGCTCTTTTTGCAAAGTTAACTGTGTGTTCAGAGGAATGTGAAGTGAACTAACAGCCGCTGTGTGAGGTCTTAAATCCCCCAGAGGTCTCTGGTGTGACACTGTTGTCACTGTTAGCAGCCTCACACTGGAATAATCAGCTTCGTAACTGGTCTGGGGTCTGCTCTGCCCACCTCCCCTTTTAGCGTACAATGGCCTGCAGAGAGACGTGTGTAAAAAATAAATAAATCTAAAATCACAATATGAATTACTACAAATTCTCAAAGCAGCAGCAACGTAGGAGATTCAAAATAATAATAAACTTCTCTCAAAGAGTGTCATTAAAATGTTATAAAATGATAAAAGTTAGAATAACAGTTTAAGCAAAATTGATTGCAATATGTCCTAATGTTTGAGAGTTATTTTTAGGCCGACCACAGAGTACGACTGCTATTTATTGTCCTGTAATAGATATTATAACCATAAACCTTGTGGTTTCAAAATACTTCCACTTATTATCCAGCCAGCAGAAGCAGAAACAACTCACAATGAATATCTTTGACTCATTCAGTGTAATACACTTTTTTTAAACACATGGTCAAATCAGAGCGGTGGCATGTCCACTGATGTGGGCAATCATTCATGCCTCCCTTCACTTTAAGACACATAAAGTATAACAACTAGAGGCAAATGAAAAGGAAGAATCAGAAGAGAAGGAGGACAGAAAGAGGACAGGGGGATTAAAAGTACCACACAGTTCTGGGTTCGTAAGAGTGTCTAGGGAAGGGTTTGCAGTCCCCCAAAGGGCCCCAGACAGCCACGCCACCCACTGAGGAGCGGGGCTTTGTGGGGAGCGGACAGCCATTGTTACTGCTGTTACTGGCCAAGCAGCTATTGTCCAGCTTCCTCTGTGGGACTGGCTTACACATGCAGGTCCACCCTATGACCTAAGCACAAACACGCACACACACACATACACACGCCCTTCAAGACATTTCTCACATGGTTTCCCATGGTGATTTTATCCCAGTACGCTCAGCTGGTGTGGGAGGGAGCCACCTGACATGTTGAGTTACTGTATACCAGAGAGTTAAAGTACAGCTGTCACGCAGTCAAGTACCACATAACATGAAAACATGGATAAAAGTTGATTTAAAGCACAAACTAAACCAAAAAAAAATCATAACTCCGGGGGGCAGCAGGCTGTTGCGCACGTTGTGACGATTGTTTTGCAAGTTAGTGGTTGAAAGAATGTTTGTGTGTGCAGGCGTACGTGCATTTGCGCGAGGACACACAGGATTTCCTGCCCTGGAGCCTCTGGCAGACGTAGTGATAATATTGAGAAAGAAATCCTGACTAAAAACAGTTTGTTCACTTCTCAGTGGGAACAGACGAGACAGCCCCGAAGAAAAAATAGAAACAATAAATACTTCTTTTTTTTATTTTGAAGGATTTCCAGCCATGGTACAAGTTTAAAAAATAATCTCTTTTTCTCCTTAGGTGAACGGTGTGTCTGTGGAAGGGAAGATGCATTCAGAAGTAGTGGCTGCCATTAAAGTTGGCGGGGATGTGGTCCGTCTGCTGGTGGTGGACCCCGACACAGACGCCTTCTTCAAGAGGTGCCGGGTGACCCCCACCTCGGATCACCTCACCGGTGAGAGGACAGAGTGAATGACCGCTATTAGCCCGTAATGTTTTTCTCCAGGTTCATTGTCCCTTATAGACAGTGTTGTAGACGCTAGACGTTGCCTCCTCATGTCCTCCTCTCAGTCCCGCCAGATTTAAAGTCTGGCACACAGTTTCTTGGCTCTGCTTTCCTTATCTCCTCCTTTAATTCTTCCTATCTCTCACTATATCCTGCATCCTTTTTTTTTTTAAATTTCTCTCTCTGCCAAGAAACGCAGACAAAGACGCTTAGCCGCTTCCTGCCCCCCACCTCATGTTGATGCCCCGTGGAGAAAGTTAATCTTTTAGACATAAATAGATCAGATCAGACGGATCAGAGTCAGACTGAGTAACACTGTTGTTTGTGGGAAGGCTTAAATACAGATCCCTCTCTCACAAAAGTTTAATATCACATTGCAAACAAAACAAAACATCACAACAAGGTCGACTTTCCAATTTTCTGGACGTTTCAACTTTTAAACTCCAGTTGTCATGGAGATGGTTCGGTTGTTATCTTTTATAAATATGAAATTGAAACATATTGGTAATGACTATCAGCTGATGAAGGCCACAAGATTCGGCTCCAGAAAAATTTCCAGCAAGGGGATAATTGTCTAGACTTTTTTGTCAAACTGCTATTTCAAGGACAGTAATGAACCTTCAAGCCTTAAGTAAATGGATAAATGACTGATCTCCGATATGGTCACACCCAGGGAGCTGTAGGGAACCCCAGTGCCTGCCTACCCAAAACGTGTAACTTAACTTAAATCAGTTCCTGGATACGCTACCAGCAGCGCCACCCAGGGGGGCCTCATATACAGTCTAGATCTAGTTTCTTCTGCTGTTTGAGAGGCCTTTCATCCCATAGCCACGATCCCTTAGGCATGGTGTGTCGTGTGTGATGTGTGTGGGGGGGGTGTGTGTGTGTGATGTGTGCTTGGTGTATGGCTGTGTCGTGTGTCTGTCCTGTGCTTGGCCAAATGCTGAGTGCCAGCTCCTAACACCCAATGAGACCCCTCATGTAACGGCAGCATGGTAGCTGCCAGCTATTGGCATGGCAAACAGACGGTCCAGGGGGCAGGGGGTGAGGATGCAGTCCGCTCCTGTACCGGCAGGAAAGCGGAGGAATGCGATTCTGTATTTTGTTTTTTGGGGATATTGCGAGATATCGACACATGTTGTAAGTGTTGATGGTTTGAAAGAGTTCTCGCGGGCCGAGGTCTCATAATAGTTGATTATTTATACATTAAAATATATCTAAAGCTAGTAAGCACAGGAGTGACATGTCTTATGTTGTGTACTTATTCTTGCGAAAGAAATACGATTGAAAAGGGCAGATGTTTCAAATAAATTTTCCGTGCTAAACCGTTCCAGTGTTCAGTCAAGGAATTAAGAATAATATAATCGGCCTACAAGGAGAGAGATTTTCAGTGAGGTGTTGCCCAGGTAAACGTGCCGGCACAGTTCACATGGGCTGGCCGATCAGCAGGAGCAGCCTGCGCCTACGAAATTCGGACTCCTTGACATGCACACACACACACACACACACACACACCCACTCACACACACACACACACACAACCCCTCTCTGAGCTGCCCGGCTGGCCAGCAGCTTTGTTTGGTTTCCAAGGCGCTCGGTCCAAGTGGCCTCTCAGGCTGGAGTTGGAGCTGTATTCGGACTTGGAGAGGCTCCTCTCAGAGTCAGGGACACAAACGCACACACATAGACACACACTCACACACACACAGGACCTGAGGAGGACTCGAATCTCAGATTAACCCTGGAGGAGCAGCTGCTATCTCCAGTAATAATCATCATTAGCTTAAAAACAGTTTTCTGCTGTGCAGAGGATCAGAGGGATGGAAGGTAAGGGATGTGTCGGACCTCTGTGATGACGTCTGTCTGCAGTTACCACCTCTCAAAAACACCTTAGTGCATTTTTATGAGAAAAAAGACAGAGGGGAAATGTTCCACTACAAGTATTGGATATGTAGAGGGTTTGTGGATTTATCTGAGGAGGAGGAGGAGGATGAGCACGATCTTGTAGAAGATGAACCTTGTGTGAATAATAGATGATCTGCTCATACCTGTGCTATGTAATAGAGTAGGTGTTGGTGGAATGAAAGGTGAGCTGCAGAAAGACTCTTGATCTAGCAGAGTGGAGCTCTCTGCTCTGATGGTGCAGGACTGGGACTGAAGGACTGCAGACGGGGAAAGACTGAAAGAGTTGAGTTTTTTGGAGCCTGTGGCTGATTCTTGTGTCATTTTTATGCCTACAGGTCCACTTCCGGAGCCTGTCATTAATGGAGGGATGGAGGAGAAGGTAAGATTCACCAGCAGTGTACTGCTATCATTTTGTTTTAGAGCAAAGCTAAAAGCGGGATTTTAACTTTAAAAAGCTGTCGGTCTCCCACAGCAGCAACTTCCCTCTTCACCGATGCAGCCTCTCCTTCCTGGCAGAGGGGAGAACAATAATAGTTCAGCCTTATGCTTTGAACACTCTGTAGCTCCTCGTGTGGCACTCGCAGCCAAGGTCGAACAGCATTTGAAAGAAACACGCAGCATTTTCTCAGTTATAGTTTGCCACATCAGAGAATTGAGTTATTAATCACAGAGACGTGTACTGAACGAGCTTTCCTGTGATTGTCTAAACATTCTGGTGTTCATTGTATGGTATTATGTGGAAAACTCCACCCAGCCAGCGCTCCATTAACTTTAAATTATTTGAAAGTGTTTGAGCAAGGACAGATTCTGTGTACAAAATAAAAATAATCCAATAGATAAAGTTGCTTGTTTGTGTTTTATGAAGTATTTGGGCGAGACACACAGGCCACTGCTCAACATGCACCCACTCACATGCTCGAGGGAATAGTTCGACATCTTGGGAAATACGCTTATTTGTTTTCATGCAGAGAGTTAGATGAGAAGATTGATACCACTATCATGTCTATACGGTTATATATTAGCTTAGTTTAGCATAAAGACTGGAAACAGGGGGAAACAGCTAGCCTGGCTTCGTCCAAGGGGATGTAATCCACCTACCAGCAGCTCTGAAGATCACTAATTAACACATTATATATTTTTTGTGTAACTGTGTGAACGTGAAGCAAATTTTGATGCAATTTGCATAATACAGAGAGAGGAGGAAATGGAGAGAGACTTATAATGAACAGATAAACAGCAGTTAGCAGCAGTTAAAGTCACATGAATGATGCAAATCTGAACACACCTTCAAAACAACTGATCAGCTTTTTACAGGGGTTATGTGCCTTTATTACTTATAGTACTTTATTTTGATTTTGGTAAATGCATTTTGTTATTAATGTTATCCTCTCCACCAGAAAGAGAATAAGCATATCCCGCCCCCCCCAAAAAAAAAAAATAAAAAAATGAAATCCTGTTTTCCTAACCTCTTCTTGGTTGCTAGTACCATCACAGGAATGCTTTTTGAGGGTCTCTCAGGTTACCTGAGTTTCTAGTTCCCAGGCGGACACACTAGACTTTTATGTAAATCAGTGTTCAGATCAGATAGAGATAATTCCAGACTTGTATGAAAACACCAGAACACAAACTACTGTACCGACTGTGGCTGCCTTCCGCTCAGGCATTTGGCCAAGTATGCAAATTGAAGCTTCACCGGGCTTCCCGTTACTCAGGAACTGTATGTGTAGCAGTGAAGTTACATGTTCCACATATTGTTGCATAACTGTTACTCATTAAAAGGTTGAAGTGCTAAGAGGGAGGGGCAGAGGTCAGGGAGAAGTCATCTTTAAAGGCTGGTTTGTTAAAAAATCCTTCAGTATGAGCAGGTTTTACTGGCTTTATTTAGTGAGCTGAAGACACGAATACTGATAACTGCAAAAAGCTATTCAAACACAAAGAGTTTCTCAAATTTCACCACTATTACAAAACAAATTTTAAATTGCTTTTGTTGATTCTGTGACCTTCTCCTCACCCACAGATACTACTGTTAAATAGATGTCATTAGTAATTCCCAGATCAATACATTAACAGTATAACTGCTAAGAAGGAAGCTTAGAACTCCACATTAATTGGTCTTACTTTGTACTTTGTGCTTTATAATATTTTGCTTTTTGCTGAACTAATTATGTGTTAGAGAAACATGTTTGACAATGTCAAACTTCTAAGGCAAATTTATGATCCAACTCAAATCCAAGGCTGCCCCCATGTGGTGGGATCTGGTATTGCACTGTGGTTTTAAAAAATAAAAAGGGTAATCTCAATCACACTTTGAAACAGGTCACTTTTCACCTTGACTATATATTCAATGGTTTGTCAGTCTATTTAATGATGTGTTTGTGTTCCCAGGTGAATGGCAGAGGGGCCATAGAGGCACAGAGGGACTCAAAGCTGTCAGTCAGTCCTTCTCCATCCAACGCCTCGTCCAATGCCTCGCTCACAACCCCGCCCACAAACACCCCACCTGAGGTACGTCACAGGAAATGTTTATCAGCTTTCAAAAGACAGCAGGTTCTCGCCAAAATATGTTGACGTTTTTCTTTCTTTTTTTTTCTTCATTACTCAGGGTTTCATTGCAGATGCCATCCCAGCGCTCAACCTGTCCCTGCAGCAGGTAAAAGAGCTCGCCCACCAGAAACGCTCCAACAAGAGAGCCCCGCCCATGGACTGGACCAAGAAAAATGAACTCTTCAGCAACCTATAGGGCCCCTCAGCTCACCTCTCACACACACAGATTTTATAGGGATTCTTTTCTTACAGAGACATCAGCGACATTTTTTTATTGTCGTGACACTAAAATAATTTTTTGTTTAACTATTGGCTGCAGACAAATTTGAGCCCTTCTGTATTCTTCTTATTATTAGTCTTCATGTTATTATAATCCAGATATTATACTGTATATGTATAATGCTACTAACAAGAAAGATGCATATGCCAATGAAAGAGAACTGGACCATGTTGAAAACGAGTGTGTGTGTGTGTGTGTGCGTGTGTGCGCGTGTGTGTGCGTGTGTGTTTGTGTGTGTGTATGTGTTTGGACCCTGACAGTCCCTGCTGGCCAGAGTCTGGTGCCTGTGGAAATATGTTTAATGACCCGCTCCTCCGTCAGCTCATCTATCTTTTAAAAGTTTATACTAACATTTAAAAAGTTAAAGTGTCTTCTGTTAGATCGACAACGGGACCAGCTACGTTGAACCAGCCTGACAATCAGTTCCTCTTTTATCTGTTTATCTCGTTTATTAGTTTGTAGGGATCAAACATGGACTGAATTAAATTCACTTTCAGGTCATTTATTGCATGAATGTTTGTATCTGTGTAGATTACACTTTAAATGTAAGAACCCTTTTTTTGATATTTAAGAAATCATCACAAAATAAGGCATTGCTTTTCCTCATAAAATGATTTCTAACATGAATCTCCTTTTGGGAATCCTGTTTTCAAAATACTTACTGATGGCTTTAAACTGGAAAGAACTGTGTTTAAAGTGGGTTCTCTTATTATGTGTGTATATATCAATATGTATATGTTTTAAATTTTTGACAAATTCCACCTCTCTGAAATGAATTCATTAATCGTGTGTATCCACGAATACCTGATATCTTTTATTAAATGTGAACTACAGTTTATTATGAGTAACTTATAACGTCCTTGCTTCGCCATCATGTCCACTGTGAATGGCTCTTCGGTTCACATTTTGAGCAAATGGGATATTTTTATTGCTCTGTGAAGTTTTTACACATTTCTATCAATGTCTTAAAAACAGTAATTATGTAACTTTGAGATTATGTATTTCTAAAAAATGTCTGCGCTTTACTAGATTTTATGCATTTGTCCAGTATTGAGAACAGTGATGATTTTTCAAATTGAATGAATTATATGAAGAGTTTTTTGTAGCTTGTGTAAGCAGTAAGAGGTCATTTCTATACTGTAATAAATCAGTCATCAAAACAACATTATTCACTGATGTTGGTTTTTATTCAGTTAGGTGAGAAGAAATAAAAATCTCTAATGTGACCCAGTTGGGTTTTTTGCTCAATAATGGAGGACCACAATGCAAATAAGTTATTTTTCTAACTTTTTTAAAGTTATCCTCCACATTTTTAATGAATATGCATGAATTCGCTGCATATATTTAAGATGTGACAAAATTAAAAAGGCAGAGAGGAAAATAGTGAAACATTACATACAGAATGTGGCAATGATATTGTGATGAACAACTGACAGTGTCGTATTATATCAGAACTTGCTCATGTTTTTATCAATCAATAATGAGGCCAATATGGCACATTAAATATATGTAGTATATTGGTGTATACTACACTGTATATGCAATTAAAAGCATTGCATGGCGCCTGGATAGCTCCTTACTGTCATGGGTGTCATCACCTCTCTCTTACTTTACTCTGCACATGAGCCGGTGCAGTTATACAACGCTCTGTCTTTTAATAATCCAAACATCCAACTGACACAAGTTTGTCCTTTACTGTGCTAGCATGTTTGCCACTATAGCAGCTATAATCAATATTTGTATATTGATTGGAGGATAAGGATGACATGAATACTTGTAAGGTTGTTTGTAAGGTTCGGCTCTGCAGTTACTGCCAGTTGCATCTTTCAGCTGATTGTTTTCGTTTTGTTGCCCGGTGGCAGACATTAAGAATAACTATACAGAAATAGCCAGTGCTGTCGCTGATGGTCTTGTTTATGTATGTAGGTCATAGAGGCATCAGTATTACAATGAGATTGTTTCATAACCAGTTCAAAACTCATTGTTATACCTTTAAAGGTGATAGCATGTTAATGTTGTGTTCACAGTTTGTTTCCACTGACCCCAGGTGGCCAAAAAAATAGTTACTGCAGGTTTAAGGTGTAAATCAACGTTGATTCACACAGGACTCCCACTGCTGCTGCACTGATCTCTGAACCGTTTGACTCATCTATTATAGGCAAAAAGATCTTTACTGATCTGTGATCCAACAAGTTGAAACCCATAGAGAACAGCACAGGAGCAGTTTTCTGTACTCTGTGATTCACTGAACACCAAAGGCTTGTTCAAACAGTTTTATTTGATATTTAATCCTCAGCGGGTTATGGGGACTGCTTCCTCTCTGTGGAGTCTCCTCATACAGTTATAAATGAAATAGCCTGAAAAACATCATCACTCACTTTGACCCTTTAATTTACTGTGTTATTGTCATATTTTATTAGTCCCTCCTGCTTGCCCTCAGCCTGTGTTGATATTTATTTTTTACAGGACACTTAGAGACTCTTCTGCCCTCCAACATGTCACTCTGTCTCCAGCAGCTGTCTCTTCCTAATGGCCTTGACCTTTCTGCTCCTCCACTCTCCTTCTAGCCCTGCCATCATTATCACAGCTCACTGTCACACTCTGTGCTGCTCACTCTGTGTCTCGGTGGGATGATTAACATAATTGGACTTTATGACATTGATGGACATCAGGGGGAAATGGGGTAAAACAGTGACTCGGCATAGAAAGATAATAATAAAGATGATGGTTGATATAATTGGCTATAATGGGAATTCTTGTAAAGATGGCACAGCAGTGTGATTGTGATAATAATTGTAAGGATGATGTTCAATAACTTCAAAGCTAGAGATAATGATGATGAAATTTAACATTGGGGCTGTTCATTTGTTGTGTGTATATTTTAAGCACATCTCATTTCCATTCTAGTACATATTGACAGTAATCACAGGTCATCCAATGTTAAAGACATTTTGGGAAGCACACTTAGCCTACTCATTTTCTCGTGATATCTCGTGTTCGTACGGTAAATATGAAGCTACAGCCAGCTATCAGTTAGCTTAGCACAAAGACTGGGTAAACACCAATCTTTGTATAGAGCCAGAGAAGCTGTTTCCCCCTCTTTCCAGTCTTTGTGCTAAGTTAAAAGGCTGCTAGCAGTAATATTTACTGTACAAGCATAATATTGGTAATAATCTTCTCATCTAACTCTCAACAAAGTGAATTTGCGTATTTCCCAGTAATACTATACACCGATTCCGTCATCACATTATGAGCACTGACAGGTGAAGGTGAATAACACTTGGATGTATCTGGTGTATCATGGCTCCTGTCAGTGGGTGGGATAATTAGGAGCAAGTGAACATTTTGTCCTCAAAGTTGATGTGTTAGAAGCAGGAAAAATGGGCAGCGTGAGGATTTGAGCGACTTTGACAAGGGCCAAATTGTGATGGCTAGACGACTGGGTCAGAGCATCTCTAAAACCAGGGTGCCCTGGTGGTCATAATGCTATGGCTGATCAATGTATATGAAGTTATTGATATTTACTGCAATAAAGCTCATCAATTCTCACTTTTCTTAAACCAAAATTACCTGATTTTTAATTAAAAGGCTACTCAGGCTCGAAAAACACTGTGTCCTAACATGTTCCCATATTCCAACCAGTAGATCCCTCAATAAAGCCCTACCGCTATCGGATTTTTTTTCAAACTTTCAGATACATAATAATAATACATAATATAGACAGTATTATAACTTTAAACTTTAAAGAGGAACTGGTTTTACTCATCAAAGTCTGTTTACACATCTTAGGGAGCACTATTACATTTTAAAGCCAGATTCAAGAGTCAGTTGAATCTGAAGACTAAAGTTTCGGTGTGAGGACCTCTGTAGGCCTCATCTCTGCTTGAGGCCAGCGGCTCGATTTTGATCCTTTTTTATTCATTGTCCATCGTGAGTCTGACAGTGTTTTAGTGAGTGCAATACTGTAAGTGGCATACTCGTACTACTTGTTACATACTTGTAACACTGGACATTTAATTCATAGATGAAAGAGGTTCACTGAGCTTTTTCTGTTTCAAACTCACTGCACACTTTAAAGCAGTGTGTGTGTTTGTGAGAATTGATCCGTATTGTTCCCTGCAGGCATGTGCTGCTGCCAAGAGTGAAATGTTATAAATAAATATTCTTTTCAAAAAGGAAGTACACTACATACCGTTTTTATACATTTTACAGACGGCGTGTTATTGTTATGTCATCTCAGTCGCTTATTACAGTCCAACCAGATATAAATCACATTATCAGTTTCCTCACAGCAACTGCAGACGCAGCGAGCTCAACTTCGTGTCTCTCCTTTTTGCTGCATTAGCACATGAGACAAAATGATGATGATACTGTATGAAGGAGGATGGGGGATGGTGATAATTAAGATGATGAGGGGCAGGTGCGGGTCGTGCACTGGACCTTCACAGCTTAGGTGCAAACACGGCCGGTTGCTAGACGACCGTGTCTACCGGGGGGTCCTTGTAAGGCCTGGAGCTGGGGTGAGACAAGGGGTCGACACAACTCTACCTTCAAACCCCACAGCACGCTAAAAATAGACCAGGGGTGTGTGTGTATGTGTGTAAAAAAGACTGTGGAGAAAATGACAGACAAAAACAGAGATACATGGAATAAGTGACACCAAGTGTACGGAGAAGGGTGGAGGAGAAGATTTGGGGAAGGTGATACAGGCCAATGAATGAAGGCGAAGTGTGACGCATTAGCCGAGCGGTGCGTAAAGCTGCTGTAATACGAGCTTTTTTTGATCCGTCTTCTCCGAGAAAGCTTCATCCCCTTCTGCCTTACGTTCGCTAATGCACACACACTCGCTCACACACACCCCAACTCCTTTTATAAAAATACCCAAGGACAATCCTAACTATTAATAGGAAGTGTTGTCAACTGGCTCTGGAGAAATGAGACCTTCTGTTCAGCTAACTATTTTTGCCGTCCTTTGTAGCCGTGACCCTTTACACTGTCAATTACATTCATTTTCCAGATTATTAAAGACAATAACAACTGGTTTTTATATATACATTAATCCTAAATGTTGTGTCAGAATATCTCAAGAATTACCCCTGGAAAAACTTACTTTTATGAGCAAATATTATGATTCATTATAGCATTAAAATACTTAATCTTCTCACAGGTAGTCCATTTTCATTTCCTAAAGGGACGGGGCCAATGTTTTCCTCTCTGAGTGCCCATCATAGACTCCCACTGAGAATTGTTCCAGAGCGGCAGTGATGGACTCAGTGTTATATTATTTACTTGGCTCCTCTTTCAGCACTCGGCTCTTTTGGTTCCAGCTCTGGAGCGGTAATCGAGCTCCACGCATACTGCAGGTGATTTATAGGGCCCGGGGTCGTCGTCTGACTGTATGTACGCACACAAGTCAGCTACTGAGGTTGTTTGCTACTTGGGTAGCATACAACATTTGTCACTGGTTTATGAGACGTGTTGAAACTGCTTGTACATGACAGAATTTAAATATTTAAACCTACAAACATGTACAATCATATTTTCATGCTTTGTTATGATTGGGATGGTAGTATGTAGACTTTTAATATTTTTGTGTAAGCTTATAGTCTACTGTAGATGATGAAAGATGCTCTCTTTACTGTTCAATATTTTTATATGTTGATCTACATTTGTTGCTTTAGACCAAAACCCCTTTCTTTATCTACGCCTACCATTCCCATTTTTACACAGCACTACGCAGTTTGCAATGATAACGGTGGCAGATTTACTACTCGAAAGTCTTCATAATTTTACAAACAACAGGTCCTTGATTTTGGACAGAGGTTATAAAGGTTAAAAAACAAAACAAAAACAAAGCAGCTTCTCATTTCTAGCCGGGGATGGCCAATTTTGATAGAGGTCGCTGGCAGAAACTATCAATTGTAGCTAATTACACTAACATTAGCTTCATGAGTTGGTTGTAAACGATACCTCCTCAAGTATTTGTTTCAAATAGGGACTCTCAAATATGCACTTGATGGCTACATACATGATATTGTGCTAAAACTAACACACGCCCAAGCTAAAAGTTAGCATCCTCAGCCGCTGATGATCCAGGACGAGAAACCACTTAGCTTTGACATGCTAACGTTAGCACCTTACTGTAAATGGTTAGACAAACTTT